ATCAATAACTGAGCCTTTGCTCAGTTCCCACAGGCATCTTGCTATCTCAGACTGCTGCAGAATCACACTCACCTCTGTCTCCAGCTTCTACAGAGAAGTGACTCAGTCTCGGTGAGGCCCTCCTGCTGTGGAGAATCAGTGCTACTCCACTGGAGGCAGTTTAACCCAGGGATGGGGAGTTTAATGGATTCTCTCCTGGGCTGTCCTCTGGAATTGTAAAGACAATCAAGCTGTGCTTTTTTTTGATGACTAATGTTGTTGTTGGTGTTATGCCCTGGAAGACGTGTTGCGAGTACGTGTTGTAAGTACAGTATTCTTTAAATGACTGACATCCCTGGCCGTGCCGCGGGGCAGGCGGAACGTTCGTTTTCAGTCCGTTCAGATTTGTAAAAATAAAAGATTTTATTATAAAAGTCAGATTTTCTCTTGACTCCGTCTTTTGAATGGAACCTGAATATCTGCCCGCGGAGATGCGTCCGACTGTCGAACTGCTGTTTGACTCCGTTTGACCCTTGGGTCCCTGGTTTGATCCGGGCTCTGAGGTCATTCTGTGCGGAGTTCGCACGGCCTGCCCCACTTCGGCTGCTAATCGACCACCCCTTGGACCGCCGGACTGTCCCGCCCCCCGGACTCGCCGGCCAGCCCCACGCCTGCTGGCCCTGGCCCGGGATCCAGACGAGAGCCTTTCCGCTAACAGGTGGGCAGGTGTACTTCCGAAGAGGAAGTGAATGTGTGATTTTTCTTTTGCCCCTGAAGGGAAAGGAGAGATTTCCTGTCCCACTCATTTCCAGCTCCACACATGGTCGGGGGGCTGGTATCTGAGAGATCTGACAATCCACTGAAGAGCACCAAGAGGGAGGGTTCAGCCCACGCACTCTTACTGACTGACTAGAGAGGCTGTATATTAACCCTTTCATTCCCTGTGAGCAGTGTTGCCTTGAGGTGAATGAAGAGCATGAGTGGGCAGTGTCGTGTCAGTGTGGGAGCCCATCCTGTCTCAGGGTATTGCAGTGTGAAGGTGGGACCTTGATACTGGAATCAGAGCTACTTGCAGCCTCTGCAGTCCACTGCATTACAGTGTAGCTGCACCCAGTGCTGTTGAATTGATAATTAGCAGGATCAGCAGTAATTAAGCAGCTGGTTGAGTCAGATTACTGCAGTGGAGTGCACTGGAAGGGCTGCAAGCCGAGTAGCTCTGACTAAAAGGCTCCTTTTTATCCTCAAATGAGAATTTTTTGTTAAACTGTCCCTGTTAGGGGATTTTTGGTCTCTCGTGTCCCTGTTTGAAAACTCGCTGTTTATCTGAGAGATCTGACAATCCACTGAAGAGCACCAAGAGGGAGGGTTCAGCCCGCGCACTCTTACTGACTGACTAGAGAGGCTGTATATTAACCCTTTCATTACACTGCCCTGCCAGAGACAGATAAGGAGGGGAAGGCTTCTTCTGCATCCTAGCATCAATCCCATATTGGCAGGGTCCGCTTGTCGGCACGCCCGTCTCCATTTGGTGTCTTCCGGGGGCGGCGTTCACTTTCCGCGCGTCCTCAGTGACCCATCCAGCGCTTCTTGGGCTGTCGTCCCTGCGGGCTCAGTCACATCGCTGTCTGTGCCACCGTGTGCTCGATAAGGATAAGATAAGATAAGACAAGGAGTGAAAGGCTACTAGAGACAAAGAGAGATGGCTGATCTCAATATGTTTCTCATTATCTCAATATGTAATGCTCAATATGTTTACAGTACATATTACAGTAAATATTTTAGGACGTGTCTCTGTTGTAAATGCCTGTAATAGGGCTGTAGATTTTATTTTACTTTTATTGTATGTTTTGTTCCATGTCAATTTTATTATTTTTATCTGTTTTGGCAACACTGATTGGTCATGCCAATAAAGCACCTTGAAGTGAAATTGAGATTGATAGACCAGACAAGGACGGGTTAATGCTATGTGTAAATTAATTGACTTGTAGCTAGTTAATCATTATATCAACCCAAACAAGTGCGAGGGAGCTGGGTCATTTCTCGTGCTGGAGCAGGGCTCAGCGTAGTGACCCCCACAGCCACCCCAGGTGCAGCTCTCGAAGGGAGGGGGGCTGGCGTGGCCCGTGTTCTGCTGCCGACGGACTCGGTCTCGCTGGGGGAGAGAGGGGGAGGCAGATGGACGCCCGAGGGGACGCCTCCACTGTCATCTTTAGGAGGGGAGGAGAAATGCAGCAGGTGAAATGCGTGTACTTTGTTGTAAAGCTGTCATACAATGTTGGGTGAGCAACCTCAAGGCACTGTCATACAGGGAGGCTGTAGATACAGTACAGTGT